CTTCTCCAGCACCTCAAGGCAGCTTTTGGAGGATACCCCCACCACAGCATCCTCAGGAAGGATGAGCTGGGTGCTGCTACCTGAGGTGGTAGGTGCAGGACCTGAGACCCACCAGATTTGAGGCCCAGCTTTTCAATCCTGCTCAGTGGGATACCCAGAGTGTGCCATGGACACGAGCCAGAAGGGATGGGACACACAGTTCCTGCACCCTAAGATTGTGGTGGGAGAGCCACTCTGTCACCATGGTACTAACCATCATCCTTCTCTCTTGCTTCCCCAGCTTAGAGACTGCTAAATCTACCTCCCAGGTGCCACCAGGCCCTGGCTCCATGGACCTCGGCATGGGCTTTTCCCAGCCCCTCGCTCCAGGCTCTGGTGCAGCACTTCCCACCGTCGCCCCAGCCCCCCCGGCCCTGCTGGGCACCCCCTACGCCATCTCCCTCTCCAACTTCATCGGCCTGAAGCCAGTGTCCTTCCTGGCGCTGTCCCCATCCTCTGTGGCAGGTCCCAATGGTGGCACCACCACCTACACGACCAAGATCTCGGCGGCCAACGGCACCAAGAAAGCTGACCGGCAGAAGTTCTCGCCCTACTGAACCCCACTGGTGGGTGGGCCAGGGGGTCCGGGATGCTACTCAGTAGCAGGGACACCTTCCTGCCCCCCACCCTGACCTCAGCCTCTGCCAGGTGCCCCATGCCCCCCACCCCAGGGAAGGGAAGGGTCTTTCTGGTGGCAATGCCTGCTGGAAGAAGGGGCTATTTTGTTGCCTGCTGCCCATCCCAGCAGCACTGCGCCCCCCACCCTGATTTTCTGCACAGAGACCATGTGTCCTGGTATTGGGTGGGGGGCCTGTCCCTGCCAGCCTAGGGTCCCTTCTCCCAGTGCCCTGTGCTGCAGGACCCCTGCTTCCTGCTCCTCACCCTGCCTCCTCTGCCATCCTGCTCATGCCCACACTCCATCTGGCACCCAAAAGCCAGGCCCCACTGGTTGAGGACTGCCTGGCCTCTCCAGGCCCCTTCCACTGGCTCTGGTGGGGGGCTCTCCCTGGGCCACCCTGGGGCAATCGCCTCCCATCCAACCCCATCCAACAGCCAGTCCCCGCTGGCTTGGAAATGCTGTATATATATCAGTCTATATTTTTTCCTCCTTTGTAACTTATCAATGGTTTAATAAAAAGATAAAATTTACAAGAAAATAACAATAATAATATTCTCCACTCTGGGTGGAGACTTCCCCCAGAGCAGGGGTGGCCCCAGCTCCTGGGTACTTGGGTGGTGGCTGGAAGAGCATCCCTGTGTCCAGGGTGGGGGATGCTGGGCTTCAGCCCCATCTCACTGGGTGTCTTCCTGGAGCCCCTCGCTGCCATGGGGCAGTTAGAGAGGCCATAGGGCAGTCTTCCCTCAGGCCTGCAGTTACTACTGGAATAGGGACATCTCCAACCCACCATGCCAACACCATCCACGAGACCTCTGTGGGTGGGCTGAGGGTAATGTATCCCTGCAGCATTCCCCAAAAGGTTCCAGTCCCCTTTCTAGTGGGAACCCCATAAGAGTGTCCCCAAGCCCTTCAAAAGCAATGAGACTGAAGAGGAACAACAGCTCCTGATCCCCTCTGGCTGCTGCTGCCCTGTGTCACCCCACACAGCCACCCCCCACCACCCTGTATCACCATGCCCAGCCCAGCATGCCCTTGGCCAGCAGCCCACATCCACTGGCACGTGGCACTGCTGACCAGGGCTTCAAACCGGGCAGCTGCGTCCATAAACAGCCTGACATGGACCTCCAGATTTCCAGTTCCCCCTCAGGGGGATGATCACTGCCAGCTGAGGGGACAGAGGGCATGGCCAGGCATGGCCATGGGCATTGCATGCTGCCATGCCAGCAGGACAAACAGTGACACAGCCAGAGCCAGCCCTGTGGGTGTGTCCCCCTGATCAGTGTCACAGGGAGCAGCAGCTCCTCCACACAGGCATTAGTTTTGGGTTAAACAGCCAGGGATGGAGGTCTCTGTGCCTGCCATCCAGGCTCAGCAGGGGGCTCGGGGGTCCTGATGTTACTGGTGTTAGTGGCATTAGCTGGAACATTGCTCCTGGATGGGGTGTAAGGGACATCTGCTCTTCCCCGCTGGCCAGGAGTGCTCTCACTGGGGCAATGGAGATGGAGGTGTCCTGTCCCCTGCCCCTGCACAGGAGCCCCTTGGCCTTCCATGTCTTGAGGAGAGCCTATCCCTGGAACTGGGCTGTGCTGATGGAGCCAGAAACAATTCCATCCTGCAGAACAGAGATGTGACTTCCCCAGATCTGCTACCTTCTCCCACCAGAGAAACCATCTTCCACCATAAGCTCAAAAAACAGGCAAAACCTGAACAAGGACTCCTCCAAATCCAAGGGGTTGGGTCCTAGTAGGTCTGATGGGTTCCTGGCAGGTCTCCTGCCCAGAACAGTGGGGCAGAGCCTTCTTCTCAGCTGCTCTCTTCGGGAACTTGACCTGGGGTGGGGAAGCCTGTTGTGGTCTGGTCCAGCCTGTTCCTGGGGCTGGGACTGATGCAGCTGGTGTGCGTCTCCAGTGTCCAAGTTGCTCTCTGGAGGAACTGCAAGAAGTTTTCCTGAACAGAAGTCTCTGAGATGGAAAGACAGAGCTCCTGACCCAGGGGACAGTTAAGACAGCTGCGCCGGAGGCGGGCCAGCTCCTCACGGATTTGGCGGTTCAGCAGCCCGTAGAAGAAAGGATTAATGGCAAAGGAGGAGTAGGCAATCCAGGTGACCACCATCTCCCCGTGCCCACCACCCACTGTGCCAACAATGACAGAGGAGTGCAAGTGGAAAGCAAAGAAAGGCAGACAGCAGCACAAGAACTGTCCCACAATGAGGACCAAGGTGAGGATGGCCTTGTTGCTTCCCAGAAGGCGATCTGGGATCAGCCTGGGCAGCATCAGGATCCTGGCAGTGAGGATGGTCACTTGGCTGGCGATGGAGTCACATCGGTGTCTGGGTGCAACTGCCTGTGCCGGCACAGGTGCCTGCTGCAGGGACGCAGTCCGGGCCACACGGTAGATGCTGGAGTAGACAGCGAGGATAATGATGGTGGGCAGAATAAAGCAGGTGATGCTGAAGAGGATCACAAAAACCTTCTTGTGGGCCCCGGGGCTCCAGTGCACTGTGCAGCGGCTGGCGCTGGTGGCACCATTGCCATGAGGCCATGCCACTAGTGCCAAGACAGTGATGAGAACAGACTTGACCCAAATGAAAATCACTCCAGCCACCGCCAGCCTGATGGTCATCTTGACCTCATACCTTAAGGGGTGGACGATGTAGTAGTACCGCTCCACACTGATGATAGAGATTGTGAGAATGGAGGCACTGATGAAGCAGATATTCAGGAATATCACGGCCTTGCACTCAGCAATGCTGTAGATCACCCAGTTGAAACAGGTGGAGCTGGAGATGATCCCCAGAGGCATGAGGAAAATGGCTGAGAGAAGATTGACTGCACAGAGGTGGCAGACAAAGATGAACTTCCTGAAAAGGGGTGTTTTAAGGATGATGACCATCACCACGATGTTGGCCACCAGGGCGGTAAAGGTGAGCAGGATCATGCAGAAGAGGCCCAAGACCTCCTGGGCAGTGGAGTGCTTGGGGAGGGAGAGCAGCTCTAGGCTGTCCGTGGCGTTTGACCCTGTCTGGCTTGCCATCCCCCTCCAGGGCTAAGCCAGCAGCTCTGGTGCCTGGGTAGCAAAGGCTCTTCTTCTTTGTCCCAGAGAGGGTAACCCCAGCACAACCATGGCTGCTACCTTCTCCTTGTCTGTTGGGATCAGGAGCTGGGTGTGAAGGGAAAGAAGCAAAATGAGGAAGAGCCACAGAGCAACGCAGAGAAAACCAGCACACTTCCAGGGTGCTGGAGGAGGAAGTGGTAGACAATGAAGCCATAGCCACTTGGCTGTCCCAGAGCAGGCACCCAGGCTGTCCCTAACCTAGCCAGGGATAGCATTGCTTGGTCCTGTGGCACCCATGCCAGGCTGACACCCCGTCCTCCCTCTCCAGTGGCACCAGTATGTCCTGAGGAGAGACAGTACAACTTGCCTGTCCCAACCCTCTTGCTCTGGCCACAGGGGAACCCCAGGTGGGTGGGATTCAGCGCACCTTTGCTCCTGGAGAGATGGGTGATGCTCCTCTCCTCGCTGGGGTCCTGCTTGCTGGTGCTGCTCCCGCAGCAGAAGCGGGGCTGCCGGCCCTGTGTGAGGCCACGCTCCCCCTTCCCCGCTCCCGTCACCCGCTCGTCATCCTGTTTGCCTGCAGCCTGCCAGCTGCGGATGGCACCAGCTGTCACTCCCAGCGCTGCCTGCACTGCCTGCACCCGTGGCAGTCCCACGGGGACAGCTGCTGGGTCCTAGCAGCCGGCGGGGGCTTAGGAAGGGGGGATCGGGGTTCCTGAGCCCTGTGCTCCCCAGAATGATCACCCACTGCACCAGTCCTTCCACAGGAACAGCTCAGGTCCCTGGGGCTCAAGGGACAGAGCCACAGGCAGGTCTGCTGCAAATCGTCTCCACTGGTACATGGATGCTCATGGGGAACAGAGTAACACAGCTGGGAGTTGCCCTTCCCTGGCAGCCTCAGCACCTGGACAGGCGCTCAAGGGACACATGTGAGCACAGAGAAGGACCTGGCACAGGTGCCAGGCTGGGGCAGGACAGCAGGCGTGGCATGAGGCATAGCACTAGAGGGAGAGCAGGCATTCGCCCTCAGGATGGATGGATGGAATCCTCTATCCCCAGGCAGGGCAGCAGATCTTGCTCATCCTCTGTAGCTCTGATGCCAAGGGGTGCCCATGAGCTGTGTGCCTTGCTAAGGTGACGAGAGCAGCTGGCCTCTCAAAGACACCAGCTTTTACCTGAAGGTTTCAGCCCCTCCAGAGCCACCTGTGCCATCCCTGCAGGGACCCACTGACACCCTTCCCTATAGCACACCCGCCTTGCTGGGCAGGAAAGCAAGAGCACTGCTCGGTCTCGGTGCAAGGCGCAGTGATTTTATTCATGCTCAAAGCAAGCTCAGTCCCCACGCCAGCCTGGCCCTTGCCAAGCCCCAGGTGGGGTGGCCAGAGAGTCCAGATCACTGTGCTCTGGGCTTATAGGTGTCACCACCTGGTGCTGGGCCAGGGCCGTGGTGCTCCCAGGCACCCTCAGAAGCGGATCTGGACAAGGTAGCGGATCCGACATTGGCTTTCCTGGTAGATGAGGTACTCGCTCTGGCTGAAGGAGGAGTCCTTGTAGGCAGGCATGGAGATGGGCTTGCCCTGGCACACCAGCACCTTTTTTCCATCCATCAGCACCTCCTTATCCTGTGCAGGATCTGGGCCAGAAGACACCACACCACCACATCAGACTGAGATCTGGCCTCTCTTTCCCCCTGTCCTGTGCCCACCACACCCCTCCTGCCCCAGGCTCACCTGGCTCTGTCTGGCCACAGGCCAGGACACTGTCATAGCCAGCAGGTGGCTGACACAGCGTGGGGTCATCACGGGTGATGCAGTAGGGCTTGCCCAGGGCCACCTCCGTCAGGAACATGATGCCAACCCTCTCAGATGTACAGCCCACTGCCATGGGAGAAAGGGATGGGGGTGATAGCACCATCCCTGGTATTCCCACCTGGCTGTGCCCAGGCCATGCTGGGACCAATTGCCATGGCAGGGAAGGCGCTTGGCAGGCCCACAGCTGCCTGACAGGGGTATGCAAAGATGGCCAGGTTCACACAGACCCATCACAAGCAGCCCAGCCCATCCCAGGACCCTCACCATAGCAGGCTGATTTGCTGTTCTCGGAGGCGAAGTAGATGCCCTTGCCCACGCGCCCGCCCGAGTGGGGCATGATGCGCAGCCCACTCTTCAGGATGGCCGCCACCACCGCAACGTTGGTGCCATGCCAAAGCAGGCGCCGGTGCTCCAGGAGGTCATGGGCCTTGAAACGCTCACCCTGGAGAGATGCAGAGCTAAGGGCTGTCCACACGGGGACACACGGGTGCCCAGGGGTAGAGGACTACCGCCCACCTCCCCAGTCCAGCCCTAGTGCCTGGCTGGAGGGGCAGGAGACTGGGTGCCTGTTTGGCCCTGGCCAGCTGGGCTGAATCCCTTCCTGGGTGAAGAAATCCTGGGGTGCAACTGTGGCATTCCCACTGTGATATGGGGAGAATCACCTTGTCCTCACCTCACCATCTCGGGCCACCTGCCAGATATTGAGGATCTGGAGTTTGTGACCGGTCTGCTCCACGTAGGTTTGGATCAGCTGCCGAGGGGGAGGCAAAAAAGCTGTGTCACTCCAGGCAGCCATTGCAGCAATGCCCAGGGTCCCCCTGGGACAATAGGAGCCTTTGGGGTGCCTGCAGGCCTGACATAAGTGCTTCCCATTATGGGACACTGGAACAAGCAGCACCTGGTATTCCTGGGAAGCCGGGTCCAGCAGGGAGAGCTGGCAGCAGAGCAGGGCATAATCCTGATCCAGCGGATGGACAACTCCTTTCTCCTCCTCCTCCTCCTCCTCCTTCACTTTCTGTGCCTGCAGGCTCTGTGCCACCTCAATGTCAGCCAGCACCTGGCAGGGACAGAGCAGGGACATCCTCACCACCAGTGCTGGGCACTGCGCCGGGGAACCAGGGCAAGCCCAGCCTCCTGCCAGCAGCCCCTGTCCCACAGGGAAGGGAAGCCATGCACCGTGTGCTCTGGCATCTCACCAACAGCATGTCCTTCTTGGCACGCAGCAGGTCAGGGGAGTTGATGGGGGGTGGCCGCGCCCGCCCAAAGTTGTGTGGGATGATGGTGTAGAAGCGTGAGGAGAGCTCCTCCAGGCGAGAGGCCTGGGGGGGCTGCTCCCTCAGCACTGCCTCCAGCTCATCCAGTGCCTCAAAGCCCCTCGCAATCTGCTGCTTGCTCAGCTTCCCCAGAGGCATCTTCTTCACATCTACAGGGGAGGGCAAGGTGAACCCGTCCACCCCACTCGCTCCACAGCTACTTCCCAGAACCTCCAGTATCACCATGGGCAAGTGTGGGCACCCAGCATGGGGTGTCCACAGTCCCATCAGGTGCCAGCATATCAGAGGGGATGCTCTAGAATCCATCAGCACCTCTGCCCTGTTCACCTCCTCACCAGCACCCTGCAGCCCAAGCTCATGTCACCCATCAACCCATCACCTCCTACCAATATTCATGGTCTGCATGGCATCCTGGAACATGTCACTGCTGAAGATGAGGGACACCAGGTCCTGTGTGGCTCTGTCCAAGGTGCAGGGCAGCACCCGCTGCTTGCAGACCTTGCCCCCATCCATGGTATCCACCTGCAGACACCCCACATCAGCTGCGAGCCTGCAAGAGCCTGTGGGAGCAGTGCACCAGGGCTGCCCACCTCTGTGAGGAGAGCCTGGTGCTGGGGCAGCAGAGCATTGGGCAGGTGCTGCCTCCGCAGCTTTCCACAGCTGATGCTCCACAGAAGGTCACATTTCTCATTCAGGATGCCCTCCCCCTCCATTTTAACCCACTAGCCCCATATCTCTGCCTGCAAGCTGTTTCAGCATGCACCCAGACCCCTCTCAAAACCCATCCCATCCTGCTGACCCTCTTGGATGTCCTCGTGTTCAATGGGCCCAGAGTGTGATGAGGATCATCGCACCACGGTGACAACCTGGGTGCCCGGAGTACTCACCCTGAGGACAGCCTCCACCTCCTGCCCAGCCCCTGGCTGCACCTCAATGAGCGTGTACTTCCCCGGCTGGGCGATGAAGTTCTCCCTTGTTGCCCAGCTGTTCTTGGTCTTCTCCCGAAATTTCTTCTCAAAGTCCTTCTTGGCAGCTTCCAGGGAGGCACAGGGCATGAGCTTGAACTGGCCTGCCTCCCCCTGGCAGTGGACAGCAGTAGTCAGCAGCTCCCCTGCATCCCTGCTCCACCAGCCCCATGCCAGTGGGAGCAGGCAGGAACAAGGGGGGCTGTGATAGCAGGGCTTGGAGCCACAGGCAGGAAATGTGCTGAGCCACTAGCTCAGGAAGACACCCCAGGACTCCTTGCTGGGCTGTCACACACACATTCACTGCCGGGACAGGTGCTACATGCCCCAGACAGCCTGACTATGTTGTATGGCAATAGGTCCTTGAAGCCCTCCCATTAAAGTGCTGTAGCAGGACACTTGGGTGCTTGCTTTGGGACTAGGGACCACCAGGTTCACCCTCAGTTTTTGGGGTTCTGAAGGCAGGGTGGGGGCAGCAGAGGTACAGGGGATGAGTGATGCCTGGGTGGACTCACCACGCGGCCCCAGCGGGTCCAGACGCTGTAGGCACCATCATGCTCAAGGAGCTGGATGATGTAGAACTTGTTGTTGTTGGCACTGATATTGGTCTGGTTCAGGGTGCAGTCATAGTCCTCATAGACCTACAGTGAGTGACATGGCCTGGGCTGGCACCTGGAAGTGTTTGGTGAAGGAGAGGGTGCCAAAACGTCCCAGTGGGAACACACAGGGGTCTGCAAGGAAAATTTGGGCTCAGTCTGTGTCATAGGGCAGGGGCTGCTCTGAGACTCCTCCAGCCCTCCTACCCCTGCCCCTTTAAGCACCTCCATCCTGCTCTCACCTGAGCACCTGGTGCTGTGCTCAGGGGGCACAGTCCATCAATCGTGGCAGGCCGTTTCTCCTTGGCAGCAGTTTTCAAGGTTGCCAAGGTGGAACTCCAGGTGTCATCCTCTTCTTCCCCTTTCAGTTTCTTTTCCCTGCTCTCTGGCTGCTTCAAGGAAGAAGCTGTGCGCTTGGAAGCCATGACTGAGCTCCCCCGATGCCACGGAGTCAGAGCAACCTTAATCCCCCAGAGAAATCCTTGGAGACAGCAGAGGGAGAGGTGAGAGTTGCCAAGCTGCCCCTCTGGGAAAGTCTGGTGGGCTGTGCCTTGCTTTCCCTATGCCTTCAGCCTACAGCAGGGCTGAAGGAGGGGATGTGGCCTCTGCCCAAAAACTATCTCAATCTTTTCCCTGTGTTCAGGGTGGGTGACCCTCTCAACAGCCTTCAGCCCTTGAGGGACCCCAAAGTGGAAAGAGCCCAGTGACACAAAGCCAAGGGGGAGCACAGGGGGACTCAGCTGCTTGCATAGCAAACTTGGATCAGGAGAGCTGGAAGAGGATCAGAGTCTGGCTGGAGAGGGTCTGCTGGCCCCCACCTCCCCTCACTAGGAACCCCCAATGCACAGGAGTGTGTCCCCAAGGCTCGCCCAGCTCTGTGCCCCCAGGGAAATGCAAGACGGGAAACAATGCAGTGACACGCCCCAAACATGAAATGCTATCCCCCCGAACATGAAATGCCATCCCCCCAGTCCCTCTCGAGACCACTGAAATGCTCTGGTATGGGCGGGGGGGGCTTGGACAGCCCCTGTCTGCTATGCCCCCTGTCAGTCCCAGCGGAAGAGAGGGTGCTGGGGACAGCAATGGGAACAGAGGTACAGACAGCAACCATGTCCTACCTGCTCCCGCTGCCCAGGGCTGCCTGCCGAGGAGCTGCCGAGAGACTTCAGGCCGGTCAGGCAGCTTGCCCAGAGGAGAAACTTTTTCCTTAGGCAACACCCACAGATGACAGCGAAAACAGCTGACATACCTCTGGGTAGCGCATGCACCCTGTGACAGGCCTGCCTGCTGTTTCCCTGCACTGCCTGCACTGATTGTACTGCCTGTCCGTCTGTACTGCCTGTCTGCCTGTCTGTCTGCACTGAGTGTACTGACTATATTGCCTGTCTGTCTACACTGCACTGTCTGTACTGCCTGTCTGCACTGCCTGCACTGATTGTACTGCCTGTCTGACTGTACTGCCTGTCTGTACTGCCTGTCTGTCTGTCCTGCCTGACTGCTCTGTACTGCCTGACTGCTCTGTACTGCCTGCTCTGCCAAGGAGTCCCTGGATGAAGTATGACCCTGACACCACCCTGCCCTTCAGCCAGCCCCATTCTGCCATGCCCTGAGATTAACAAAACTGTCTTGAAAAAAATTAAAGATGGCACCATTTTGTGTGCTACTTATCTTTTCTTGGGCCCCAAGCAAACACTCAGGGCTAAGGGTCAGGCAGTGAGGAGGACCTGACTGCATATGAATGTGATTTGAAGGGTTCTCAGCAACCTCTGCCTGCTCCTGCCAGCACCTGGTGTGCTCCGAGGGATGCGGGTCCAGGAGTTGTGCAGGAGCAGGGACTAGCGCCAGTGTCATGGGAACAAGGCAGAGGTGCCCTTTGTACTGGGAACATGGAGAGGACAACGTTGCTGGAGCCAAAGTCTTGCTGGTTTTGCAGCTCCTGGGCTTGGCTGTATGACCCAAGCATGCAGGCGGGGGTACAGTGCCATGTCCTCCACTGGCGGCAGAAGAGATTCACCTTAACTCAGGCAGGTGCTCCCCAAAGGGATGGTAGGCCATGACAACAATTTAGCTATTGACAGAGGGGAGAAGCTGGGGTTCTTCACTCTGGAGAAGACACCACAAGAAACTTAGAGCCCCTTCCGGTGCCTAAAGGGGCTCCAAGTCGGCTGGAGAAGGACTTTGGGTGGGGCATGTAGTGATGCGACAAAGGATAGCTGCTTTAAACTGACAGCAGTTTTAGCTTGGACATGAGGAAGAAATGCACTGTGGCGAGGCACTGGGACATGTTTTACGGAGCAGTTTCGGCTTCCCCATCCCTGGCAGTGTCGAGAGTCAAGCTGGACGGGGCTCTGAGCATTCCGGGCCCCTAAGTGGGGCAGGCCGGACCCCAGGTCCCTTAATGGCGGCAGCCCCCCCAAACTACACTTCCCGACATGCCTCACGGCCCCGGCGCCTGCGCCCCGCTTGGAAGCTTCCAGTCGGGGCGCGAGGTGGTTGCTGGGTAGAAGACGGGCGGTCCCTTAGGCGCCATTTTGTGGCGAGGCAGCGAGAGGGGTTGTGCGGGTGTGCTTGGCGTGTGGTGCCGGATAGTGCTGTGCCGGGTGCCTGCGGATCCTGGGCGGCGGCATGGGCTCGGACAAGCGGTGAGTGGCGGCGGCGGCGGGAGGGCGAAGGGAGACGGGAGGAGGCGGGCGGTGGTGGG